GGCCTTTTCTCACTAGACGTAGTGAGGGCAAAGGCCTGACTCTGGAGGTTCTTTGTGGCCAGTGTTGTTTGCAGTCTCTGCCACATGTTTGGCAGATGTGAGCTATGGCCTTGGGGGAGACTCAAGAATGCCTGTGTTTCTTACTTTTCTGTTGCTACAATTTAAAAAAAAAAATCACAACCAAAGACAATTTAAGGAAGAGAGTTTATTCTGGCTTATTCTTTAAGAGTATTCTTAAAGGGGTAAGAGTTCACTATGGAAGTGTGGAGGCATGGCAGCAACAGTGGACACAGCATCAGTAGAGAAAGCTGAGGGCTTACAGCTGGAACTGCCCCAACTGGAAATGGTAAAGCTTTATGCTTTCAAATCCTACCTCCACCGACATATTTTCTCCAACAAGGCTGCACCACATAAATCTCCCCAAGCAGTACCACCAGCTGGAGATGAAGTGTTCGAAGCCTAAGATTGTGTGGGGCACTTCTCATTCAACCACAATGCCCATGGGTAGAAAAGGATCAGGAGAATTCAAAGGGTAGCCTCTCCTCCTGGGAGTGGGCAGTGCAATGCCGTGGGGCAGAACACCGCCAGGCTCTTTAGTGCAGACAGTGTTCCTAATCCCCCTCACTTGGGCTTTTAGGCTCGTGGTTGCACAGAAACAAGATGTCCTTAACCTGTCACAGTCACCAAGGACCCAATACATCAACTCCATGTCCCTGTACCTACCCCAGGCTGACAGGGGATACCCGAACCTTTCTAGGCTTCTGGGAACACTAACTTAGCTTTACCCCCTCAGGCAATGCCACTGAACTTTGTCATTCTGTCCTCCAGACTCTTCCCTTCCTGAGGTGTCACCTCCAGGATCCACAGGATGGAGAACTAGTCTCCAATGGACTTTTCTTCCAAAAGAGTTAGTGTGTGGCGATGGCTTTAGGCTGAATTGCCTAAAATTGCTGAATCCAAGTTACCAGGTGTGGGTCCTGGGGTATAAAATGACAGGTGGCTGTAACAGAAACTCCCAGGGGTGACAGGCTTGGATCCAGGACTTCCCTAGCCAAGTCATACACATAATGGAACTTGAAAGAGTTTGAAATGCTATGGCAGGTATGTTTTCTGTTTTGTCTTTCTTTTTAACCGGGTTGTTTCATTTATCCATTCATCTGGTTTTCTGTGAATTACATCCTGGGACCTATGCTTGCTCATTCTCAGAAGTTGTTCTTCACATGGGGCTTCCCTGTCCTTCGTAACAAGGTGACCATGTGACTCAAGCCTGCCTGAAGAGTCCTCCTTAGACTGTTCACTGGCACCACTGAATGAGAAAGATGTCCATCTTCTGCCATGATGAGCACCAAGGACCCCATGAGCCTGGAGATGTTGAAGGCCATCTTCGCTACTCCCTGGAGGAGAGTGAGGCTGCCAGAGGAAGACAGAAGTACAGGGGGAAATGTTGAGACAGACTTGGGCCTTGGTTTCTTATCTTTGTGGGCCGAGATGTGGTGTCTCTTTCATTAGAGTGGTTTATCTTGGGTTTTTGACACCACCAGATAAAGGATTCCAAATTGGTAGCCACGTCTCTGAACTCTCAAGCAACCCTAAGAGGCTGAAGTCACATCTGTGCCACCCTCTGTGGTCTGTCTTCATTCAGGAGATTGGGATCCCATCTGCTCCCTTAAGTTGTATACAAGTGCATGGACTGAATGGTGTGTCTTTCCAAATTCGTATATTGAAATCCTAACCCTCAAGCTGATGGCATTAGAAGGTGAGGTCTGAGAGAGTGATTAATTCATGAGAGCTCTGTGAGTGGGGACTAGCACTGTTATAAAAGGGACTTTCTTAGAGGCCCTCTCCTCTCTTTCTACCGTGTGAGGGTACCACATTAAGATGGCAGCTGCAGCCAGGCAGTGGTGGTGCACGCCTTAAATCCCAGCACTTGGGAGGCAGAGGTAGGCGGATCTCTGTGAGTTCGAGGCCGGCCTGGTCAACAGAGTAACAGGTCCAAGACAGCCAGAGCTCTACACAGAGAACCCCTGTCTCAAAGAACACAACAACAAAAGATAACAGCCGGTTTGTAAGATAGACCTCACTTGACCTGGCCGTGTTGGATCTTATCTTTGACATCCAGTGCCCAGAATTATGGAATGAAAATGTCTGTTGTTCACACCTCCCAGCCCATGGTCTCCTTTTGTAGCAGCTGGTAGGTAAGCAACACCTCCATGCTCCCCAGCAGAGACTGGCAACCAAGCCTGTTGCTAATTTCGATGGTGAGGGAGGAAAGTTTGCCTAACCTGAGATTTTGTGGGGTCCTTCCTAGCATTTTCTCTCCAGAGACACCAGTAACCTTTTTGGGCAAATAGTTTTTTTTAGTTGCCATGGAAATGATGTGGCTTTAATAGCCAGCCCCCAGTCCCTCTGGACAGGAGTTGAGCAGGTCAGGTCCTGCGTGGGCTGAAGGGATGACTATTCTGTGGCTGCCATGAGCCAGGTTCATCTCTTCTGCTCTATGAGCTCGGCTGGTCTGTTGCTAGTTTGGGTGGTTTTTGTTTGATTGTTTGCTTGGGCTTTTGTTGTTGATACTTCTGACTTTGATTTTTAAAAATAACCTGGTGCTTCTCAAGGCTGGTTTGCAGAACTGCACAGCCTCTGGTGTAGAATGTGCTCCTTGACCAGCCCTGGGCTTTAGGGGAATCCTTTTGCCTGAATAACTGGCAGCTGGCTGTGGCCAAGGCCGGGTGGAGCTGACCCGGGTGATGGCTGGACGCCAGCCAGGGCTTGCTCTGTCACACACAAACAGCTCTCCTGAAGCCCCTCCACAGAAGGAGACAGAAAACAAAGCATGGAAGCATTATTAATTTATTTAAGTTTACACAAAATAAAACAGAAGTTTGTTATCATATAAAAAAACAAAACTAAAAACAAACAAACAAAAAAAAACAAGCATTTTTGCATATGGGAAGTTTCACAATCTGGGAATGAGCCATAGTGCTGGGTTTTCTGAGCAAAAGGCTCAGGACGTTTCAGCTGGATGAGGTGGCCAAGGTGACATATCATAGACCCCAGAGCAGTTTGACACCAGCCACCATAGGCCTCTGCTCCAGACTGTGGCACTTGGGACTCTTTCAATGTCCACTTTTGAGGCCCATAAAGTCCTTGCAGCATGTCCCTTTCTGTTCCGTCCTCCCCGTCACTTCCCCTTCACTTCCTGGTCATCCATTAACCTCTCCACATACCGACTTCCAACATCCTCCTAGTAGGAAACACATCCCTTACCTCCTCCAAAACCTACCTCAAGTTCCTCTCTTCTAGCCAGCACCCCAAAACCTGATCCAGTTCACCTCCAGAGTACATTAGCTGGCTGGAGGAACACCCTTCAGGGCTGAGGAACTAGTCCCTAGTCTGGGCCTGTCACCTGTTTGCCGTTATAGTTTTAAGTATAGTCTAAGTAACTCTTAACAGAAAATCCAAGATCCAAACTGCTTCGGAACCCACTGGTTTCTGAATGATGATATGTTGCCACGAGTAGAAAATCCCACACCGTGAAATCTCATTTCGTGCACATAACATTATTTAAGAACACTGTATAAAATTACCTTCAAGCTGTGTACATACGGTATTATGAAATAGAAATGAATTTCAGGTTTATACTTGGGTCCCACCCCCAAGATACCTCATTATATGTACTCAAAGATACCTAAGCCTGAAAAGACTGAAATCCAAAACTTTCCAGTTCCAAGCATTTTGGATAAGGGATCCTCAACCTGTGTTTCCTTACGTTTCTGACCCCAGTCTTCCTGCGTCAATGGGTGTGCTACAATAGCGGTGGATGCTAATGTGCCCTGAAAAGTGTGCAAATGCTATAGAGTGCAAGCGGGGCCACCCTGGGCACTGTCACAGCTCAGGCTGCTTCCCACCTGTCGAAGACAGCGCTGTGCTCTCAGCTGTGTGGTGCTGCCATGGTGAAGTATCCACCTCGGCACACCGGTGACTAGGGTTTCACCGCAGGGATGTGAGCCCCTGATTTCTGTGTTTCTTTGGTGAGCTTCTCTAGCCCACAGCACCAGTCAGGGCTGAGCATGCAGCAGTGCTCAGTCTTAAAGTGTATTGCTTTCCATCGAGTTTTCTTGCATTGATCTGCCACCCACAGTGTGATGGTGACATTAGGGTGCAGGGTGGTGGAAAAACCCAAGCCCCTTTGTCCATCCTCCTGAACATGACCTCCAGCCTGAAGGGCACTTCTGGCAGCCTGGCCTGGGGCCCTGGCACTTCCTCAGCAGTGCTGGCCCAGGGCTCAGGACCATCAGCTGAATGATTTCTCATTCCCACTGGAACAAAACTCCCCACAGAATGGGTGGGAAACATGGTTTTACTTTGGATGAACCAATCAGATTGACGAGTAAACACCTACCAGGGTTGCTGCCGCCAGGTTAAGAAACCCATTGTGGGGATCAACCCTGGACAACTTGGAGGGCCACACCAGGCACCCTTTTCTTGGGGATCACTGTCTCAACTGTGGTACCCTCACTCCCTGAGCTCAGCAATATGCCAATAAAATGGCCTGTAGCTTTAGCCCCCTCCAAGGGTGCCTGGTACACTCTAAACTGTCCTTTTCACCAAAACCACACTAGGTGGTTGCAGAAGCTGAGGAAGTTGCCTCCCCCTTTCAGAAAAGCCCACCACATATGTGTTATTCAAATAACACATTCTGAATCCTTCTCCCTCCCTCTAACACATCCCCTAACCCCAGGTGCACAGAGACACATATTGCACTTGACAAAATTCATCTTCTTTTGATAATAACCTAGCCTATGCTCCAGGCAATGCCACTGCAAAAGTGTTTGCATGAAATCAGTCACAATAGAAACCAAGCCCATCACCAGAGGACAGACTTGAGAGCCACCTCAGCTGCCTCTTGCTCAGGAGAGTCCAACCTTCCAGTCACTCAAAACAGGTTTGCCTCAGGCTGACCATCAATGGGATTGAAAACAGCACCCTAGGAGCCTCCCTAGCCCTGACTGACCCCAAAGCCTGAAAAACAACAACAACAACAAAAACAAAAAACAAAACAAAACAAAAAACAATGCTTTGCTTCAAATCCACCCAAAGTAAAATGCAGAATAAATAAATAAGCGCTTCCAACATGCGCTGCTTGGGAGTTTCCAGCTGTGTGTGGCTGCAGCCTTCATGGTGCTCCCCAGAGACTCTGAGACAATCCAAAGGCTCTACCCACCCCTTCTTCCCATCCCCTGGGTCACAGTAAAGCATGTACCGACAGGCGGGTAGAACAGGGAGGGGACAGGATGGCTCTTATCTATACTTGCTGAAGAACTGGGTGAGAATCAGCTCTGCAGACTGGCCCTCCTCCTAGTGCTCGTGGAATCGTGTGTCTATCTTTAGTCAAGCATTGTGGAGTCATGCCTTCGGAAGAGCGGCCTAGACGAGTGTGAGAGAGAAATGGACCGAGTCCTGGATGAGGGGTGTGCACACACCGCTCTCCTCTCCCAGAGACACCTGGAAGCCAAGGTTTCTTCCCTCAACACAATCCTTGGGAGATTGGTGGTCCTTGAAACCTCAGCATTCAGGGCTAAGGTCCAACTGTCGCAGAATGTCCTGCAGAGAGCCCTGCAGCCTGCTCAGAGCCACCACCTCTGTGGAGTAGAGTGAGGCTTCCAGGACGCCGTCCAGGCTCTCTAGCTTCTGCAGGTCACTGGTCTGAGGCAGGGAACAGCTCTTGGAGGAGGCCAGCAGATGGAGAAGGTCTCGGAGGTTCTCCAGGTCGTTAGATATTTGCACCACATTTCGGGAAGGCAGGCTGGAGAGGATCTGTTGGTACACTGCCAGAGTCTGCTCCATCTTAGACAAACTCAGGATGGGGTGGAGCCCAGGAATGAAGTCCAAACCGGTGACCCTCTGCTTGGCGGATACCGACTGCTGTACAGGAAGGAGGAAGAAGAGCAGCAGACACTCAGCAAATGGAGGGGAATCAGTCTCCAAAGCCCTCCAGCACATCTGTGAGCCTGGGCTGCCTCCTTCCTTCCTCACTTTCCTGGCCCAGGCCCTTATCTCCTGTGCTCAGCTGACGGCTGAGCCACTGAGCTGGTCTCCCAGACTTCTATCATTCTGAGCCCCGCCCCCCTTCTTGGGTAATTCCTTTCCCCAAATGACATCTGTGAGGGACTAGCCATGGCACTCTATTCCTTATACTCACTCTAGCCTCCCTCCCTTATCAGATCTCTCCCTCCAGGTCCTATTCTTACATGGTTCTCCCTCATTAGGGTCAAAGTCTTGCCCCTCCCCCACTCTAGTGAATCTGGTTTCCAGGAAGAGCTCTTCCCTCCTGGGTGACATTCTCTCATTACTACCCATATTTGGGTAGTTGGGTCTCCCATGTGCAGCCCTGATGACTACTTTTAAAAGATGACGGAGATTGTTCTTCTTTGTGACTTTGAAAGGAGGGTGAGCCACAGGCAGGAAAAGCTGTAGCTAAAACGGTTAGAAGCCTAAAGATCCTCCTGTGTAGACTGGCAAGTGGAGACACTGTTGGGAGTCTGGCCACCTGTCAATGGGACACCATAACCTTTAGGGTTTCCTGTGGTCCTGGAAACTAGGAGTCAAGGAAGTAGATTCAGGTGGGAAGGAGAATGAGGGAGACTGAAACAAAGGACTGAGGAGAAAGGGAGGTAGGCTGCGGAGCAGCAAGGGACCACAGTTCTCCCTGATGTGTGCCTTACACGCTCAGCTTACATGAGGGCAGGGTTTCCTGTGGCAGAGGGAAAATGAACACAAGTGGCCTTATCACAGAATCTATGGTTTCTTAACGGGAGAATATGACAAAGTCAAATTCCTTAAAGTGGCTTAGAATTAGAACCACAGTTGAGCAGTCGGTGCTGGGTTTAGAATTGGAACCACTCAGCTCTGGATTCCAGCAGGTGGAGGGGTCGAGAGCCATAACCAGAGAGAATGAATACCCTAGGCTTATAAATCCTCAGCCTCCAGGTCCTGCCTGGCATTCCGACTCCGAGTGCAGCCCCACTTCTCCATTGTCTCTCAGAGTCTCCCTACCGTGTGCGAAATGTCATTGATCCTGGTGACAATGGTCTTGATGAGGGTTTTGGTGTCATCCTGGACTTTCTGGATAGGCACAGCTTGAACATAGGACAGATAGGACCAAAGCCACAGGAAGCGGCACAGGGGTCTCCAGCACATTTTCCTTTCTGGGATCTTCTTGGGCCTGCAGACAGGAGGAGCGACACTTTTCAAGAGCCCAGTATAAATCCACCCGTCGGCCCTGCTGCCAACCTGCCGTCAGATGTGGATAGATAAGATTTGCTTTCCTCCCTAGCTAGCTACCATCTTCTCAAAGTCAAAGACAGTTCGTTATGGAACCTGGGTTAATGAAATGCATCCCCTTGGGAAGATTTTTGACAAGTCAGTAAAGCCACAGTGATGTGTCCTGTCGATCATAGGGCAGTATTTGTCGGATGGGGTGATGATGGTGGGGGCTTTATTGCCTACTTCAAGAGAAAGAGAACCAACTCTTAAGGTCTAGTTCAACATAGTTGTCTACTCACTGCCTGACTTTAGGTATATCACATAACCACTCAAAACTCCACCTTTCTCCCTACAATCTGCCTATCTCCAAGCTTTTATGAAGATGAAATTAGCTAATGCACGTGCGAGAGTTGGAGGGTTTGTGAAGAGCTCCTCTCGCTCCTCTGTTATTAGGGACCCAGGGCTGCCCGGCCCTTCCTGCTACTCTCAGTTACCACCTTCATTACTGATGTATAACTTCCTTCCTCTCCCAGGGGGAACCTGAATGCAAAGCAGCATTTCACCATTAGACGGTGCACCAAGAATGGAGGATACTTCCTACCCTCCAGCACCTCAGTGTAACAGGAGGGACAGACAAGCAAGTAGGCTGTTTCAATGCAGGAAGATGGAGCTTCCTAAGACAAGTGTGAGACATCGCAGGAGCCCAGAGGAGACTGCCATGGCTGGCGCTGAAGTCCGAGAAGGGGCTGGGAGAGCAGAACATGGTCGCCACATGTGGCCAAGACGTCAGAAGGGCAAAGGTGTGGAGGCAGAGCGAACACAGCACGTTCACTTAGAATGCCGGAAATTTCAGTCATGGAACCCTGGGTTTTTAAATTAACACGATGCAGATGCTTGATTAAAAAAAAAAAAAAACAACCACAGGTTTGCTGAGATGCATGAGGCAAAAAGGTAATAAAGTTAAATGTATGCAAGTCTGTAGCCAGTGATCCATGCTAAGGGTGTATATATGAGCTTGAATAATAAAGATATTCATAACTATTAGGATGAAGAGTGTGGAGACGGTAGAAAAACTGACTTTTCCTTTTTGCGTTCTTCCTCATCTGGGTCTTGGTGGGAACAGGTGATGCATTGCCATCCGTTGGTGGTAATATTAGTATAACTCACCTTGTGGCAGTACAGCAAAAATGAGCGCACTGCTTATCTATTATTTATAGTGCTTGCTTAAAGGTACGCTCTTTTTAATCTGAGTTTTACAGAATAGAAAACAAATGAGCCTCAGAAAGATGAGCCAACTTTTCCAAAGTCAAAAAGATGAACAGCAGGCTGGGATGTGTGAAGGACAGATTGAAATACAGCAGTCCCGACCCCCATCCGCAACTTTCCAAGGTTTTAGTTATCTTTGGTCATTTGTGATCCAAAAATATTAAATGGAAAATTCCAGAAATGAATAATTCATCAATTCTCAATTGTGCCATGCTGCGTAGTATTGTGAAATCTTGTACTGTTTCATCCTACCCCTCTTGGGATGTGAATCATCCTCTTCCAGGGTATCCACACTGTATACATTACTCACCTGTGAGCTACTTTAGTATCGGCTTGGTTATCAGATCAATTGTCATGGAATCACTGTGTGTTCCTGTTAACCTTTATTTAATTTAATCATGGTCCTAAAGCAAGAACTGTGTTTAAAGGAGGCACACACATTCAAGGAGAGAGGAATTTGAGTTCTATGGGTCTGTGCTCCAAGGCATATGAAGAATAAATGGATATAAGTGGCTTAGTCCCCACACAAGTTTTAGGTGTCCACTGGAAGTCATGGAATGTGTTCTCCACAGATCAGCAGGGCTGCTAGCTGATATCCCCCCTAAAACTCCAATGGAGGAGCCAAGTGTAATAGTTCAGCCCCAGGCTTTAACTGCAGGCTCTGTTTTTGTTGATTGTTTCTCTGTGTCTCTGGGCAGGAGAGATAACTTCCCAAAGTATCTGGTCCTACCTGCAAAATGGAGCCACCAAAGGGTAAAAATGAGATGAATTTTTGATATCCCTGCCTATCTTGGCTTGTGTCTGGCTTGGGGTTGAGAGAGTAAATGCCATCCACTTAAAAATTATTGTAATTACTGAGCAGAGCTTGAAACGCTCTGGGCAGCAGCACCTGCAGCTGACCAAGCCACACACTTGGCCCGCTGCCTCCCATGAGCATCCCAACGGGGTACCTGGTGCTTATGGGTTTCCCCCTGCAGCACAAGAGTGTGTGGCATTCGTGTCTAAGATTTATGTGTTGACGACACCCTCCTTCCTTACAAAATTTACTACCAGATTAACTATGGCCATATCATAGCTATTTTCACATAATGGCCACCCCGAACTATTGGAATGGACAAACAGGTTTACAAGCCCTCTCTCAGCATGGATAATATGCCCCAGTGGATTCCGACAATAAATTGCAGTGCTTTGAAAACATGGAATTGAGATGCTGTTGCTGAGTAAGTATGCCTAAGATGAGAGGCCAGGCTTCTAGGACACGCATGGGGGTGTTGCAGAGAGAAGTGGTCACATCTGAGATCCAAGCCATGGTGAGAACCAATCGCCCAGACAGCACATAACACGCTTGTGCAACACACACACACACACACACACACACACTCAGCACACATAGCCATGTTGTGGAGACTGCTCGTTGCTCCCAGTGTCTTATTTTTCTTTCTTTCCCAGTTGAAGACACTCCCGAGTCCTAAGGGAAGTATACGGCCATGAAAAACAACTGCTATACTTGCCAGCTTCTACCATTAGGTGCAGTCATGCAGCCAAACTGACCAATTGAATAGAAGCAGAAATGCCATGTAGCAGCTCTTGGCATTGTTTATGGTGGCCAATGCATACCTGTGACTTTAGCATTTGTGAGGCTGAGGCAGGAGAGTTTCTTGTAAACCCTTGGCCAGCCTGGGCTCAGAGAAAGACCTGGTCTCAGAAAAAAAAAAACAAAACCAAAAATAAATAGTACTAATAAAAATAAAGATCAAAAATGCCCCTCTGTTGTAAGAACACACATCATTAATTGTGATGAAAGGGGCAATTTAAACAGATCCAATGCCTCAATTAACTCTAAGGACAGTGGGACACTATCTGGTGATCAGTTAGAATTGGGGGTTGGTTGGAGCTCAGGGGAAAGGGGCCATGGATGTAGTTCAGGGAGCTGAGGCCACAAAGGCTTTTCTTTCTAGAAGTTTCTTAAGTGGGTTAAATACTTAAGAGTTGTTATAGTCTAAGATCTGGCAGAGAAATTGCTGAGATGCTGGTGCAGTACACTGTGTCCCTCACTTCTGGGGACTGTTGCAGCAGAGCCTGGAAAGAAGAGGGACCGTGCAGAAGGACAGGATGGGCACTGCTGGGCTACCTCCTCGCCCACTTCTGTTTTACATGCGGGATATCTCACTTGATAGCTGCTGCCTGCCTTCCCCTGCCATCTAGGCCACGCCTTCTCCATTGTGACTCCCCAGTGGGGCACACAGGAAAGGTAAAAGAACAGAGAGGGGAGGCCCAGAGGCAGCTCCAGGCAGTGACACACGTCTTCAGAAAACAGGCTCCAGACTGGTCCAAGAGGCTTGTGGGCTGCACCATTGGCCCACCTGTTTCCCCTTTCTGATCTCACCTGGGTCCTGGATAGACTCCCCCTCCCCAGTTGGGTGATTCTTCAACAACATCCCTACAGGGCAGTTCTATGCTCCCACCGTCCACCTCGCCCTTCCCTGCAAACAAGATCGTCCTAATTACCCCAAGATAATGGTAGCCTCGGGTATGAACATCCTCTCCTTCCTTCGGTCCAGGGGACAGGGCTAACCCTTCAGGACAAGATGGGTGGGGGTGGACACAACTGCTGGCTGCTTCTTCAGATCCAAACTGGAGGCTGCAGAAGCCCAGGTCAGTTATGCAGCAATGGGGGAATGGCAATTGGGGGAGCACTGGGTGACAGAGGCATCTGCTGGCCAAGGCTGCCATCCTTGGTCTCAGTCTAGCCTCCCCCAGACCAGAGGCTAGCAAGAGACCCAGAACACACTGTCTTCTTTTTCCTCTTCTCTAAGCCACCAGATTTTTATAGAACTTTTTTCTGATAATCTTTGGTATGCTACTATGTATTAAATTCAGGTAATGTTTGGCTAAGGAGCATATGAAAATATCTTGGAAATGCAAATCGGAACCACAGTGAGATATCATCTCACCTCAGAATGGCTTTTGTCAAGGACAAATGACAGCCGATGCTGGGTGTGGGGTGTGGAGAAAGGGAATGCTTAAACATTGCTGGTGAATACAGCCCCTATGGGAAACAGTGTGGAGGTGCCTCTGAAAACTAAAAATAGAACTACCTTATGATCCAGCCATCCTGTTCCTAGGCATATACCCAGAGAGAAGAAGCCAGTATGTCAAAGTAAGATATTTTGCTTCCATGTTTATAGCCAAGATATGGAATCAATCTAAGTGCCCATTGAGGTATGAATGAATAAATAAAATGTGGTACATATCCACAATGAAATAGTATTCGCCATAAAATAAATGAAATACTGTCATCACGGCAATATGAATGGAATTGGAGGACATTATGCTGATCTCAAAGCAGAGAGAAAAGAACAATTCTCAGAACCTCAGAGGAGTGTGGGGGAGGGGAGAGGATGGCTACTGTAGCCGAGTACAGGGAATGTTAGATAGGAAACATGACTTCTTTAAAAAATGTTTTTATTGGGGCTGGAGAGGTGGCTCAGTGGTTAAGAGAGCATACTGCTTGCTATCCCAGAGGATCAGAGTTCAGTTCCCAGCACCCATGTCAAGTTGCTCACAGCTTCCTGTAACTGTAGATCCAGGAAGATCACAGCCTCTAGTCTCTGAGGGCATCTCTCCCTGTCTGTCTGTTTGTCTCCACTCTTAAAATAACAAAACTAGCATTTTTATTACATTTATTTCTTTAAACTAAACCTTTAAAATTCTTTACACATATTTAATGTGTGTGTGTGTTCACTAGCATACAGCACACACTTTACCCACTCAGACATCTCTTTGCCTTCTCAATATTGATTTTATATTAGCTATTTTGAATTGTCCAGTTAATTATGGTCCATAGCTATCTTACTGAAATACAGAGTATTAGAAAATTTTTCTCCTGGCCTGGCAAGGTGGCTCAGTGGATAAAAGGCAGGTATTACCAAGCCTGATGACCTGAATTCTATCCCTGGGAACTAAATGCTGGACCCTTCACATGCGCTCTGTGGCATATGTGTATCTACCCCCTCCCTTGCACACACACACACACACACACACACACACACACACACGACAACAAACAAGGGCTGGTGAGATGTCTCAGAGGGTAAAGCCACTTTCTACCAAGCCTATTGATCTGAGATCAATTCTCACAATGACCCGTATGGTAGAAGGAATCAGTTAATTCCTGCAA